GCATAGGCGACCCAGTGCGTACCCGGGCCCTCCTCGTCGTCGAGATTCACGATTCCGCTCTCGTCGCGACGCACTTTCGTCGGCAACGCGTCGCGCATAAACACGCCCCTAAAGAAAGGTATGCGCGAAAGGCGCGCGGACCGATTCAATTGCTCGTTCGTCGTGACACCGAACGTTGGCAAATCGAGCGTCATCAGTGTCTTATTCGGCGATTGTTTTTTTTTTTACCCGTTCTCGTTCGTCTTCTGCTCGTCACGCCACTACCGCGTTTATACGGCGCGAGATACAGTCCGCGACCCTCCAACGCGCGATTGTGACGTTGCAGTTCCTCGAGCTGACGTTGAGCGGCCTTGTTGTCGTTCACCGCTTTGGCCACGCCAGCCGCTCCACCGATCAGGGATCCGAGCGCTCCCAATATCGGTAGAAAGGGTAGGAGACCCCCGCGTTTCGCCAATGGGAGAATTTTCTTCCTCGTTACCGCTCCCCTCTTCCTCTTTCTCATGCCCATGCCCAATTTCGTTTTTGTTTTCATAGCAGCCCATACGGCGGTCGCGGCGGCTCTCTCGCCAAGGGTTGTGTCGCTCGCCGTGATACGCTCGCGCGCCTTTTCGGCTAGCGCTCGATCGGCGACGTGTCGATCTGCGAGATCACCGCTTCGCGAGTAAGCGATATCGTGCTCGCGACACGCCTCGTCCAACGGATTGATACCTCGATCACCGCGCGCTAGTCGCTTGGCGAGACGAGTACCCGGCCCGCAGAATTGATAGCCGGGTATGTGTAATTCGACGGGTAGCGCGTTTATCGCTCTGTTGAGGAGGCCGCTGCCAGTGCTTCGCGCCGCTGCGCGCGACATGCGCCGCAATCCCTTATGAGCGATGGTGGACCGTCTATGTGCGTTCTCTGCCACGGACGATTGTAATGTTCCAAACACGGACGACAGTCCCGTACGTCGGAATCCGTCCTCAGATGAACGGGCAATTTGTCCCACAGTCGATCGACGTAATCGGAAAAGTTGCGCAGCAGAAAAATCTTTGGCACGAATTTCAGTTGCTCGGCGGACAGACCGAGAATATCGCGTTTATCCGTCAGGATGAGAAACATCGCGATAACTGAAGGCGTATACCGATAGAACGTACGCATAAATAGGGCAAGTGTGCGCGCACGCGCGTAACAATGCGATTCGTGAGACAACCGTCGGCGATAGGAGTGTCGAATCTCGATTGCAAGACGCGACTGACGTCGGGTTTAACGTCGAGAGAAATGCGTCGACACGGCCCTCTTTTACCGATCGCGATACGTTGCGTCATCTGCGGCCCTTCCAATTGCGGTAAGACGAACGTGTTGATAAGTTTACTGGAAAGTCCGCACGGTCTGCGTTTCGAAAACGTATACGTGTACTCGAAATCTCTTCATCAGCCGAAGTATCGTTACCTCAAGAGTCTGCTCGAATCGATGGACGAGATCGGTTATCGCGCGTTCTCCAATAATCGCGACGTCGTGCCGCCGAGCGAGGCGCTCCCCAGTTCGATATTCGTGTTCGACGACGTGGCCTGTGACAAACAGGACGCAATCAGGGAGTACTTCGCCATGGGTCGACATTCAAATATCGATTGTTTTTACCTCTGTCAAACGTACGCTAAAGTACCGAAGCATCTAATACGCGACAACGCGAATCTGTTGATCCTGTTTAGACAAGACGGAACTAATCTAAAACACGTGTACGACGATCACGTGAGCCCCGATATGTCGTATGAAGATTTCTGCGCGTTGTGTCGCGAGTGTTGGCAGCGCAGGTACGGGTTCGTGGTGATAGACAAGGACAGCGCGCTACAAAACGGCAGATACAGACAGGGATTCAACGACTTTGCCGTACTGTAGAGCGACCAGTAGCTGTCGAACGTTCTGAGAGCGATGAGCGACGCGAAAAACACCGTTGACCGAGAGAAGACCGCGCGGCAGATCGCTAAAACGCGCGCGTCGATACGCAGAAAATACAGAGCGTTGAAAACTGGCAGTATGGAGAACGAAATGGCTCTCGAGAGACAATTCAAACCGATCGTCGACCCGTTGAAACAAATCGTCGAACACGTCGAAAAAGGCGAATCCAAGAACGACAATGCGGCGGCGGCGGCGACGACGAAAGGTTTCGTTATTAAAAAGAAACGCGAGCAAAGCGATGACGAAGACGACGACGAAGGAAAAGTCGCGCGAAAAATAATATCGAGACCTAAGAAGAGGAAAAAACAAACGAGCGCCGAGTCAGAGATGCTCCCGATCCACTCCACGCCTCTGAAACCGCGAAAATTATCGCTGCACGAGCGGATGGGGGAGGAGCTGGAGGTTTTCGCGTCGCCGTTGCCCTCCCCCGAAACACCCGTAAGGGACGTTCTACAAGCGCCGCAGAGTCACGAGGAACTGCATAGTCAATTTGGTCCGTTAGGACAAAGATACGTGGGCGCTCTTCTAAACGGGGACCCAGAAAATGAATTCGATATCGTTTACGGCGTGTACGTCGGGAATGACGGCACGATGCTCGGTGACAAACGGTTCAAGGTGAACGCGGACGATTCCCTGATTGTGGACGGAGTGAGATACACGGGCACGCCCGGCTTGTACAAATTAATCTTCAAGAGATATCCCGATGGTGCAATTTACACCGAGGACGACATGCAAAAGTACAGAAATATACTGTTAGCGACAAACGCTTACAGACGCGATTATAATGCTCTTAACCCCATCATGGGCAACAGGGGACAAAAATACACGAAAATCATCGCTCCGTTGGTATCGCGCGGTAGAATCGGCAGCAATAGAAAGGGTGCTGGCGTGACCAGATTACCGTCGATTATGAAATTGAACGACAATACAATGGATTACGTTTATTGGGACGATCCTAACGAATTGGTGGATCGTCTGCGATTACTCGAGGCCTCTCGTCAAGCGGGCAACGACGCGCACGGTAACGAGATTCAGTCGATAATCGAGGAGCTTCGCGAGATCGGATTGATTATAAATTGAGCTGTCGCGTCGATCGCGACGGCAGTACGTTTCTCGACGAGAGATCGGCGCAATGTCGGTGAACAAATTCGGAATGTCTCTGAGGAAACGCGGCGACGGCGGCGGATTCGCGACGGAAAGATCGCGATTCTCTATCGACTCCCTGCGGAACTACGTACGAGACAGCGCGCTTTGCTTGAACGAGGATTCCTACGACGCGAGGGAGCGCAAGCTACGACGTCTAGCCGCGCCGGAGATCGACAGCGACGCGACGAACAAGAGTTACGTCGAACGCGCCCTTCAAGAATCGGGAAAGGAGATCGATAAATCGTTGTCATCGGTGAAAAGTGAGGTGGATAGGATAAACGGCGACGTGAACGGACTCAGAACCACGTTGAGCGAATTCAAGGAGACTGAAAACAACGTCATGAGCGGACTCAGAATCACGATGAACGAGTTTCTGGCCAAGTTCGAGGAGATTGAAAACCAGATACAGAACTTGGAAAACTCTAAATCCACGCAGACGGGGCAGATACTCGGCGCGCAGATCGCGATGAACGATTTTCTAGCCAAATTCCGCGAAATTGAAACAGCGATGGTGACGAAGGAATCGTTCGAGAGAAAGATAGCGAACATTTGCGGTAACAGGGGGAAAGGTCAATAAGGAGGTGATGAGCCGTCTTTTTTTTTTTGCGCAGTCGAGAGAGGAATACACGCGGGCAACGATGAGTGTCGAGAAGCGAAGACTTGTGGAGGAGCTGCACGCACCGGCGCGGAGAAACTTCCCACGACGTCGCGTCGTGGTGCGCGGTTACGACGATCTGTGGCAGGCCGACGTGGTCGAGATGCGTCCCTACGCGCGACACAACAAGGGTTACTATTACATACTAACGGTTATTGATGTGTTGAGCAAGTACGCGTGGGCTTTACCGCTCAAGAGCAAAAGCGGAAGCGAAGTAGCCACGGCCCTGTCGAGGATATTTCGCGAGGACGCGCGATATCCGAGGAATCTGCAAACGGACAAGGGAAAGGAGTTCTACAACGCTAATGTGCGAGAGATTATGAAAAAACGTGATATAAATCACTACTCGACGTACTCGGTGATGAAGGCGTCGGTGGTGGAGAGATTCAATCGCACGCTGAAGAACGACATGTGGAAACTCTTTACGCTCAACGGATCGTACGCGTGGGTCGAGGCGCTGCCCCGTCTGCTGACGAATTACAACCACCGCAGGCATAGAACGATTGGGATGCGACCGGTGGACGTGACACCCGCCGTCGCCAAGAGGCTCTTGTCCACAGTGTACAGTCGCGCGAAGATCGCCGCTCCGGGTAGATTCAGGGTGAACGATCCAGTGCGCGTGAGCAAATTCAAGACGCTGTTCGAAAAGGGTTACACCCCCAACTGGACTACCGAGATTTTCCGTGTCGCTAAAGTACAACGTACCAATCCTGTGACGTATCTGTTGAAAGACTACCGCGGGGAACCGATAGCCGGAGGATTTTACGAGCATGAGTTGCTGCGAGTTTCTGACCCCGACGTTTATCTCGTGGAGAAAGTGTTGCGCAGGCGAGGCGACGACGTATACGTGAAGTGGTTAGGAATGAACAGTTCGCATAACTCATGGATAAATAAAACGGCGGTGTTATAGTTTCTATACATATTTTTTTGTTCGCCTTAATGTAAACTTATGTGTATTTCAAAAACAAAAAAATAGATGTTTTATCATTCTCTAACCTTCGCAGTCATACTTCTTCCTTTATCCGTATGTGATTCTATTGGAGAGGAGGAGGAGAAAAAAAAATCGAACAAGGTTCCATAGGGGGGGGTTTCTCTCTTTATTTTTTTTTTAATAATAATATGTGATTACAATAATTTCTCAATATTCCCGAAGCACAGAGCGACTAACTCGCAGTCAACGATGTCATCGCGATCGAAGAATTCGCTCTCGCGTATCGCTCTTGGGACGTTCGCGGGATCCGTCACGGTGGCCGCAATAGCGACAAAGCGCGTCAGCTTCGCGTCGATCGTGTCGATGATCGCGCGCAACGAATTCACGAGGCTGTTGACGCAAAGTTCTAGGTCGAACATGAGGAGGACGGTGTTCGTCGACACGATCATACGAGTCGTGGACGTTTCCAGGCGTAGGGTCGACAGAGTGTTAATCTTGCTAAATCGTAATTTCAGTTTTCCGTTTTCGAAGCACATCGGTGGTGGAGCGCGCTCGTTCTTTCCGCGCTGTAGATGAGACAACACCGCGCGTTTACGATCGATGAGTTCATTCCACGTTTCGGGCGAGAGTGAGATCTCCTTGCCGTGACAATCTCCTATGACGATGTGTATGTAACACGGGAGTACGGCTGTGATACCGACGTCTATGAACTTGTACCCCGTCTTAGTTAATAGGTATCTTCTTTCCAGAATTCGCACCGGATGACGTTTGGCGTCACGTTTCGATGTACTGACGTCGTCGTTGCTGTGACTGAAAATAATAAAAAAATTATTGTTATATCGTAGGCGAGCAATACGGGATTGTCGCGAACTCACCACATGTTTTTCTAGCAGTCGACGTCGTCCCGATTCGAAAACGGAGTCTCTAATTCCATCGATTTCTCGTCAATTGCTCTTCTTTTTCTTTTCGCGTTATCGACGCCATTCTCGAGATCGTCGTCGGATTGACGCTGTTCGAAATACGGGGCGTGTAACGTCGAACACATCTCTCTCTCTTTTTTTTCTCCGTTGTCGCGGTGCAGTTGGCGGATCACGCGAGAATGAGTCATTCGAGGAAAATTGAGGCGAAATATATTTTAAGAGATAAATTCGATTCCCCCTCCTTTCATTAACATTCTCAAGAGTGATATGTAAAGGAGGGGATACGTCGAATTGTTCTATTCTTTCTCTTTTCTATTCGACGTCTCCCTCGCGTCAATTCGAACGAATCGACTCAATAGATCTCGCAGTTGCATCATCAGTCCCTGTCTCGGGCAGGTAATACCGAAGATCCCAAGATCAAATTTGCCGGATGCCGTTACGGTTTTCGTAAATTCGTTGAATTTGTAGAATCGGTTTTTACTGATAAAGTACAGATTACCGTCGATGTATCGAAAGGCCGACGATACGCTGTGAGGTATTCCCGGAAATATCATGTCGATGTGGTAGTACTTAACGATATTCATCGAACAATCGTCTATCTCGCCCACAACATTATCGTCGTATATAACGAAAGTTCGTCCTTCGTTCGTGTTCAGCACGGCGTTGACCTTCCTGGCGGTATCGGGAATTCCGAGATCTGTGTAAGATCTCGGCCAAGTTGAAACTAGCGTTAGACGCGGATAAGTGATCATGTAGCTCATATTGCCCGCGAACAGCATGATATTGCCCGAGGGCGTCTGATACGCGGCCGTCAGACGCGTGAAATTCTTAGGAAGAAATTTCATGTAGTCCGTCAATAGCAAGGGTTTCTTGTACGTTTTCCCGTCTATATCGATTGACCACACGTATCGTTCGTGCGAGATGTACAATCGACCGTTCGTTATCAATACGGTATCCACGTTTCGCAAGGTGCACAGATCCATCTCGACGTCTTTTGTAGTCGTCGTTGCTATCGTTGTCGTCGTTGTGGTAGTCGTCGTTATTACTTTTGGAACTTTAACGTTTTCTTTAGCGCCGTACAGGTGTTGAATGGAAAGAACGTCCTCTAGAGTAAGTTGAACGGGGAATGTCTTCTCAGGCACGAACGCGAACATAACCGAATCTTCGCGGAAGGTGTGCGGCAAGCCTAAAGCGTGACCGATCTCGTGCGTCAACGTCTGAAGTAAATTGTACGTCCCCGGGGGATTCTTAGTCAGCTGTATGTGCCACGTCTCCGCTTTGTCTACGTGCACCTCCGAGACGAAATTTGGGTCTCCGGTGGGAAAAAACGCGTGAGCGACATCTCCGTTAGGACCTCTGAACGCAGACGAACACGGTTCGTTTCGTCGGGAGTATAGCATCGCGTGACGCCCCTCACGAAACGATATCAAAATATCGGGATTCAGCGAATCGCGCTCGAACGTCAATGACGAATTCGCTGCCCACAGATCGAACGCGGCTCGGGTCGTTTTCAAGATTATATCGTTGGCCAGATGAAAGTTCCATTTGAGATGTTTCCTCGGCCATTTGTCCGAAAGCGGAGCGAACGTGCGCTCCGAAATGTCCTCGACGCCGCATCGCGGTTTACCCATTCGATTCAGCGTCTCTTCGTTTAATTCGCCGTCGCCTGGTAGTCGATAGAATTCTTGAAACAGTGAGACGGCTCGATGTAACTCCTGCGTGGTGTTGTAGGACGATGAAAATCGCTGTGCACCGCTGTTTCCAGATACCCATATTTTTGCAGATAACTGATCGCAATCTCATTTTCACTCGATTTACAATTTACCGCGACGACGATAATAATCGCGCACGTAATTACGCGCGCGAGCGACATCGTCGAGAGAGATAACGATACGTTTCCCACCTCGACCCCTTGACCCTCGAGAAGCGATAAGCGTCACCGCCCGATCGAAGCGCGAGTGACCGACGTAACGAGCGATGCGTTCCTTTTTTTTCAGCGATCGCGACGCGGGTGGGAGGTCTCGGTAAAGGTGTTAATTCGTGAAAGGCTGAAAATGAGCGTCGACAAGACGAACGTGACGATTTCGCTTTGACGTTAGCGCCAATGATGAAGTTGCATTTGTATAATATCCACCATCGTCCCGGTACAATGAAACATAGATTTTAAACAAAAACATTATTAAGAAGTACATATTCGCTATATATTATATATTTATTTAAACGCAGCGTAATATCTTCAAGTAATAATATTTCATGATACATATAATATAAATACAAGATATTAATTCTGAAGATTCGGTATTTGATATCGCGACGCGGGTGAGAGGTCATTCGGAAATTGATATCGCGACGCGAATGAGAAGTTTATTTTGTAAACACATTAATTTACATGCTAAGTCTGTAAAAATGTAAGCGGAAATTGATATCGCGGCGCGGGTGAAAGATTTTCTTTATATATATATAT